CCCTTTTTGCTTCTTTGCTGTGACAGCAAATGCATTTTGCCTCGCAGTGAATGTCTCACTTATGGCGAGGGTTTCTGCTCTCCCTCTGCGGCTCGGCTATTATCTGGAGATTTATGCAGCCAATAAGTCATTGGTGNATTGCTTGGCATGTCTCAGAGATTCATGTGATTGGTTGTTGGTCGCGTTGCTCGCAAAAAATCGCCAAGCTTCAGACACGCCCAGCATCAACATTTTTCAAGATTTTTTTCATGCCTGTGTGTGGACGGGCTGTTAGGCTTTGTTGTAGCATTTACCCTTACTCTGCACAGAGATAGAAAATACACTGAGATCCTTTACTTGAGTAAAAGTAAAAAATTAAAAAGTTCTAAAAATACTGGGACTGCTTCATACTCGGGATTAAAGTCGTGAATACAAATGTTACTTAAGTAGAAGTTCATAAGTATTATTAAGCTCAAAACAGATAGAAAACAGGGACACTAAAAAGTATCGCACACATCTGGGACCGAAGCACCTGTTGAGGTTCAGGGATTATAAAGTTGGCCATCTGCCACTCTCGCTGACCCTAGCCTGTTGCATAATTGCAATTATTCCGTCAGTATATTTGAAATGACTAGGTTAGCTACATGAGCTAGCCTGCTTACAGCAGGTCCCCAATAATATTAGAAGAATCATGAGATCAGATTGTTATAATAACCCAATTAAATTTACATTTTAGGTAAGTTTCCAGTGACATTTTCCAAACTTTAAAATCCCCAAACGTCAACAAATGCTCCGGTCCTGGCTGTCTGAGCTTCTTGCAGCGTTTTGTTAATGCAGCTCTTTTAGTAATGCTACACATGTTTCGTCAAGATGGTGAAGATGTTCCTTCCTTTGCACGTGTTTTGGCGCATTTGTGTTTTTATATTTGAATCTTTTTTTAAGCTACAGTGGGTTTCTCTACATAGAAGTGTTTTGGGCCGTTGTAACGAGTTTGCACCTGTCGGCCACCTTAGAAAGTAACTATGATTGTTAAGTAAATGTAGTTACGTTAAAAATGCCTCTGAAAGGAAGTGCAGAAGTTCAAAGGAGCATCAAATGGAAATACTCAAGTAAACTACAAGTATGTCAAAATAGTACTTGAGTAGGGTACTTTAGTAATTGTACTTAGTTACATTCCACCACTGACACTTACAGTATTTATAGAATTTCTGTCCTGCTTTTTCCAGGTTCCTGTTTCATCAGAACGGATCAGCTGGACGGAGAAACGGACTGGAAGCTGAAGGTCGCCGTGTGCTGCACGCAGCGGCTCCCAGCAGTGGGGGTGAGGATACATTACGATGTAGTGAATCTCTGGTAACAGACAAACGGATTGAGCACGAGTGAATGAGTGTTGTGTTATCACTAAAAGCATTGCTCATCTGATGAAGTTGTGATGGAAACCTAATCACTGATGACGGACAGCGGGAACATTGTGAACCTGACGGCGGCTTCCTTTAACTGCAGATACTCAACACTTAAGATTTCAGCTCAGACGATTGTTGCCACTTAGTGTGATCAGAGAATTAAAGTTGCAGCAAGTCATTCGATGATTGAGCCGTGACGTCCATATTAGGTTTCAAGAGACGAGAAGATAGCAAGCGTTGTCCTCACTTAAGCCTGTATACAACCTTCTTCCTACATTGGTTATTGTAACAATTAGTTTTAGCCTATAATACTAACTCTTTGTGTAGTAAAACAGATCAATATGGTGCTATTCTCACAGAAAGTGATTCTTAATTTATTTATGTTAAGAAGTTAGCACACAGAGAACTGTCGTCTCAGATTATTACTGAAAGATTTTTTTCCTAAATACTATTGGATATGTCAATATTACTTTGAAGAGTACCTAAAAGCAAGGTTGTCAATTTAAGGTAAAAACAATGATATACATATTAATTTTTTTGGGCTAAGTTTCAAAGCCACGAACATCTTGTACTGCCAATATTAAGAATTAAGAAGTGGTGGGGAAAAGTATATGTAACAGATAATCACTTCTCATTACTTGTGTAATAAAATAACAACAAGTGTCAAATTTAAGTTATGGAGTAAATAGTACAATCGCTCATACTGTAGATGTAACAGAAAATTATAATACTTAAGTAAAGTTTAAACACCTCAGAGTTCAACTTTAATATAGTACTTGAGTAAATGTACTTAGTTACATTCCACCACTGGCCTTAAGTGTTATTATACCCCTGTGTCAGCTCTAAATGAGTAAATAAGTCCCGTTTGTTCAGCAGCCACATTGATCTCTGAGTCTCTGATCTTTTCTCTGTGAAGTGCTGGAGCAACACTACTCTCCGTTGGGGCCTCAGTAAAATAATCTTCCCTGCTCCTCTCTAACCGCTCTGCCGTGTTCAGCAGGAGAACACTATCTGAGCACACCGCTGCAGAGGCTGCCTGCCTGAATTATTTAATATTGACAATCAATTTTGTTCCACTTGAGGCTAAAAAAGAGGCGGTGTTAGGTGCTACACAGGCCAAAGGCTGCAGTCACATTTTTTAGGATGATTTAAAGGAACAGTTTATCAAACACTTATGATTAAGTGTTTATGATTTTCTTTCTTAAGGTTATTTTTCCATTCTTTTAACTGCTTCAACATGCTTATATCATTACGTTTGGTTGAATCCAAATATTAAAACCCACAATAATGATTCAAATAACAAAACAATAGATATGTATATTTCCAAGACTAGGATTGGATTTTCAATGCTCGAGTGGGTTTCTATCTTCATAGGATTTGAACAGACACTGAACTTATTTAATTATAATTATTATTATTAATTAATGTACAGACAGCAAACATTAAAGCGTATTACTTTTTAAAACCTTTGTTTATATTCATATTTATTTATTATATCTTTAAATGCTCTAATGTTCAGAAAGGTCTTTATTTTTCTCATACTGCCTAGCTGGCCTGCTCTGTTGTGATTGGTCAACCGCTTAAAGATGTCCCGCCCCTTAGCCTATCACGTACACTGCATCGGAGCGCTAGCCAATACAAGCACAAGTGTTACGTAGTGATGTCATTATGATGCAGAAGTAAACAAATGAGTGCCAATGCAGGCGTTTCGGGGGGGGGGATAGGGGGGAAATGTGTGAGAGAGAAACTCCCTCTGGAGGGAACACAGGGATTTTAGTCTTTGCAGACCATTTACATGCACACAAACCTATAGAACACACTACAGGGAAGGAAAACCCCAAAAGTATAGTAGGGCTCTTTAATTAAGAATATACGACTGTGCTTGAGTTTTATTTTGATAAATGATTACTAAATCCTTTCCGTCCCCCTCCTTGTCTCAGGATCTCTTCTCCATCAGCGCCTATGTCTACGCCCAGAAGCCTCAGCTGGACATCCACAGCTTCGAGGGGAACTTCACAAGGGTACAGTACCTCGTTGACATTTTTATAACCTGTTAAACACATGCAGAGTTTTTCCTATAGAAAGTGGATTGACATGGAAGATGTGTATCACTGCAGTGTGTTGACAAGCGGCAACAATGAGAGCTTGTGTGTCCATCTGGGCCCGTTGTTATCTGCAGCAGGCGTACCTCTTACATCACAGGCAGCTTCTCGCCGCTCCATCCATTCTGCTTGTTGCTCAGTGATTTTCTTTTTTTCTTCTTCTTCTGCTTTTTTTTTTTTTTATTAATAGCAGATTAGCGCAGCCCCCACAGAGAGGAGAGCTCCGGTACAAAGGCAGGCTTTGTGGCCCGTCTTCACTCTTGGCCACACACCAGGCTTAGTGAGGGAGCACTTCCTCCGCTCATTCATCCTCCGCGGCCTTCCTTTGCATAGCGTGTGCTTTTAGTCCTGGCAGGATGGGAAAAAAATGGGTTCCCACAGATTCGCACTAAATGAACTTACCTATTTATGAGGGGTTTTCCTTTTTTTTTTCCTCGAGGCGGATATGGTGGCTTTTTTTCTGCTGTCTTTTATTGAGACCCTGTGCAGTTATGAACACCAATGTCAGGGCGGTCAAGCACTCTGCAACCTGCCATTTATTTTTCATGCGCCTCTTCCCATGTTCGAGTGGGATTGACAGGATGTGGGTGCTTAGGTATCATAATTATCATATCAGGCATGCAATTTGAGCCGAAACTGGAGCCTTGACTCTGCACTCCTGACTCAACCGTCTTTATTTAAGAGAGAAGGGTAAAAGCGGGGAGGGGGAGGGGAAACAAGAGGCTCTCCAGGGGCTTATTTATCACTGAAATCTCATCTACGTGCACTCTCTATACTGTTTTAAAAAGCAGCCTCTATCGCCATGCCAAATCTCGTGAAAGTATTGATAAAGGGACCACTGTATTGCCTCGGTCTGCACTACTGTGTCAGGTGCTTGTGGAAATTAATGGCACAGCAGAGCCGGTCCTTCTGCTCACGATGTATGCACTCTTACTGAGCTTGTTTTGCTCAAATCGGTATAGCTGACATGTTTTTTCTTTCAGGACAGTTTTGTTTGCCTTGATTAAGTGATTTGGCAAAAAAAAGACTATCATTTACTAAAATATTTTTATTGCGCAAATTTCAGCTTAATGCGAAATATATATATACACATTTAACTATGTTGGTCATCCACCTAAACAAATACATCTAGCTCGTTGTGAAGAAAATGTAAACCAATAAATGAAAGAGTTAAATTCAAACAAAACATTTTTTTTATTAAAACAATTTATCTGTCTAAAAGCTAAATTCATGGCTCTATTGTCTTGGTTTTGTTTTTCTTTTCTGCCGCAGGGCAACATTGAATACTAACTAGAAGTTGGCTGATTGCAGAAATCGTTTCAAAAGGGTTTTATTAAGGGACTTACAGTTTGTTACAGTTAAAACCTACACAAACACGTTTTTGAACTACACTTCCTATAAATCATTGTTTGTTAGGAGGTTAAACGGCATACAGTGCCCATACAGTCTCACAGCTTACCTGCTACAATTTGTAAAATACGGCCTTGCAGTATTCTTTCAAGCTTAAACAAAAATACACATAATTATAACACATTTATTTCCTTCTTATTTTTCCTGCAGGAAGATGCTGACCCTCAGATCCACGAGAGTCTGAGCATTGAAAACACTCTGTGGGCCAGCACAGTCGTCGCATCTGGTGAGTAAATGACCACTTTTTATTTGAGTCTGTTTTGATCTTGTGATGAGATACTGTATAATACTGTTCTAGATTATGCATTGCAGACACAGTGTATTGGTTACCAGGAAGACTGTAACATTTCTGACTGTGTTCATGTTGAGTGTTATGTGTGGAGTTCTGCCCATTGAAACTCTACTATTGGTAGTCTATTTGCAAACCTTAGACTTCATTAAAATACTGTAACCCTGAATTTAAAAGTATGTTTTGATAAGCCTGTTTTTGTGAGCAATTCTCGGGACACATTCATATTCCCACTAATGTATTCAAACCCTACGCAACAGTTTTATTCAACATCAAAAAAATGAACAAATAGCAATCCCCGCTTCATGGGTCTACACCTTGAAGGCTTTGTTACTGCTGTGCTCTTGTTTGAAGAGCTCTGAGAATGCCCACAGTTGAGGTAATCTTCCCTCGCTCCAACTTAGCCATTCCCCACAGAAACGCTCGTGTCAGTTGAGAGTGTTTGTGAAGCTCGCGTCGGCGGCCACACCATTGATCTGCGGTGTCTCTCTCCCCTCTGGCCTGACCTTGACCAGAAGAACAAACACACCACACACACACACACTAGCAGAAAAAGCCTGACTTTGACCCCCTTACATCATCTCTGCTCAGGAATGTCATTCGTCCTTACAAGCCTCTCTTTGACGGACACTTCTTTTGCCTCTAGTGGCATTCTGGGCACTTGAAAACCCCTTTTCCACTGAAATCAGTTTAGTTCTATTTCCGTGCTGGTGCTTGTTTAGTTCTCAATTAGTTCTAAGAGAGAACGTGTTTCGCTTTCCATCTCCAAGATCCCAAATGGTGCAACGTCATGACGTCACTGTTTTTTCGGCAACAGGTGGAAAGTAATAACTCACCGTCACACAAGCAACATCCCCTGATGCACATTTCCCATCCGCACAAGTGAATATTTTTTATTTTTTTTTCCATTAGAATTCACACTGTTTTGGATCATTATGCCGTTATTAACGTATCCCTGGTATTCGATGGGTGATGTGAGCATAGCCACCGAAGTTAATCTGACTATCATAGCATATTTTAACTGCATATTTTTCATTATGAATTGACTTGCCTGTTGTATTGATTACACCTGATAGATGCTATAACAAAAAAAAACTGGAAAACGTATTCCCCCAATGCAGGCCCCCAGTCCAGCTGTGACAAGAGAATTAGTCGTTCGCAAATTCAAATTAAAGCCCCTCTGCATGCTGAGTCACAAACCATTTGTCACATATTTCTGAAACTCATCAATTCATCACCTTTCTTCTCCAATCGTCTTTTTCTTCTCTTCACTTTACTTGTTCTGTTTTCTGCCCATTTTTTACTTTCTTGCCATTTTTATAGTTCGGGGATTTCAGGCTTTGCGCCCCCATTAAGCTAATTTAATATTAATGACTCATTAATCCTCCGTAATAAGGCCACCGTAATGAATTGCCAAATAAAGATGGCAGAGTATTGATCAGCTTTTATGAGCTTCCATCGGGTGGCCGAGGCCCTCAGAGTCTAAGCGTATTAAACTCCTGTCTGTTGCCGTGAGTGGCAATGGGACAACTGCCAAGGCTCAGCCTTAGTGTGTGTGTGTGTGTGTGTGTGTGTGTGTGTGTGTGTGTGTGTGTGTGTGTGTGTGTGTGTGTGTGTGTGTGTGTGTGTGTGTGTGTGTGTGTGTGTGTGTGTGTGTGATGGCGGGGGTTGGGTGCAGTTAATGAGCAGCATTACTTTCCTTGTCTCTCTCCTTGGCAGGCACGGTGATAGGGGTGGTGATCTACACAGGCAAAGAGACCAGAAGCGTACTGAACACATCCTCTGCCAAGAACAAGGTGAATACTTTTTCTGTTTCTGCAAGAACAAACGGCAAGTTATGGGATTTGTTTTTGGTCGCGGATGCCTTAATTAAAAAAAAAAAATCATGTTATTAGAAGGATAAAACGTCATGATGGTATATATGATCCTTTTCCTTTTTCTTTATATGTGCCAACTCATTTCTTGACATATCGATTCATATGATTCAAGTGTATAAAATATAAATACATTTTAAAAAAAACTACCAAATGTACTTAAGCCAAATATGACACCTGAATGTTTACTTTCACAAATGACAAAAAAAAAGAAACAAATCGTCAGATTTTGAGTCTGGAATTAGGAAATATTTGTTATTCAAACTAAATGCACTTCGTAGTATATGTTTTACTTTCTACATAGGATGTAACGATTTTCTTGGCAACAAAAATAATTAGGGATATCTTGGTTTGACATCCTTACAAACCAGATACACTTAATTTAGTTTCTTGTAATTCATAAATAAAAATAATATAAGAAGAAAAACAAGATTTTCATTCTAAAAACTACACTGTAGCTACTGTGCATATGACAATAAAGCCCTTAAATCTTTGAATCGTATGCCAGTATAAACATAAATGTTTAGAAAAAGCTGCAGAGGGTGAAACACACAAAGTAACATCTGCTCCAAGTCCCCCTCCATGCCATCGTTCTTCCCCCTGCCTCTAATCACTAATCAATCACTGTAGCGAGGTGCTTTTTTAACCTTGACTTTCTAGATAAAGTTGGACCTGTCAATGCAAAAGGTCAACGCCAGTTGCTAATTAACCAAAAGGGAAATTAACTAACCGAGGATTTAAATGACATTTGCAGCAGAAAGTTAATCCCGCAGAATCCCCATTGAGTGTTTTGTCCTCAGATTGAGGAGGTGAATGGAAATCTGATTCTAAATATAAGACTTTACTTGGAAGATAGGGGAGCTAGAAAGACACGGGTCAACTGATAGAGGTGGTGGTTTTGCTACATTACTTTTACACACAGTTACAATTGCCTGCACCATTAAAGCTCTACGTGACACAACACAACCCTTTCCTACTGCGGCACAGTTTTGACACCAGTGTCTTTTATTAGGAACGCTGATGTGGCCGGTCGAACTGAGCGTGGGGGGGCCTCTGTTTTGTGTAAGCTCGACAGTTGAGAGGAATTCAATATTTCAAGGAGATGATGTCAGAAGTGCCAATATGGAGACTGGAGATTGGGGGAGAAAGTCGATACAGTGTGGCTAAAGTCACAAGAACGTTTTGGCCTCATATAATCTGTTGTGACAGCGGCTGGGGACAATGCCTGCACTTGATCAATCTGACAGCACGTCAGACATAGATTCACTCTTTGTCTCGGTATTGTTAGACAGACCTCTGTCTGAGTAAAGAGGCAGAACAATGTCATTGACAAGAGGCTGCTGCTCAATAAAGATTGTTAGTTTGAAGTAGATATCCAGCTCTCAATACTCTTCTACTCTTCACATGTCTATCAAACTCTTGGAAAAAGTTGTTTACTAAGACCTCAAGAGTCAATTTCACTTTATTTTTCCTTGATTCACCGGATCAGCACCTCAAAACCTGAGGCCATGGTTCTCAGCAGGAAAAAGTTGGACTGTCCACTCAGAGTAGGGAATGAGTCCTTACCCCAAGTAAAGCAGTTCAAGTATCTTGAGTGAGGGGGTCAATGGAGCGGGAGATGAGCCTGAGAATCGTTGCAGCGGTATTGCAGTTGCTTTACCGCACCGTTGTGACCAAGAGGGAACTGAGCCAGAATGCAAAGCTCTCAATTTACCGGACCGTCTTCATTCCTACTCTCAGCTATGCTCATGAACAAAATAACGAGATTGTGAACCAGTGTTTCAGGTAGCCGGTACTCACCGTACTTTGACCGGAAAGATCTTTAAAAGTCCAGCAAATTCTAATCCTCCAGTCATATTGTCTTGTATAAATGATCAAACACAAGCCGTTCTCATCAATGCCATAAGCGTGCAACAAGACACCGTGCCACCGGAGTGGAGCTTCAGGACTTTATATCGCGAGGAAAAATATTACTTGTAGTTCGTATTTGGGGCCTTTCACAAGCTGCCTTTTGCTCAAATCCACTGTTGTCGTTGTACATGCCCCTTTGCTCAGTGCGACCTGGCTGCTACGGCTGTGCCCAAGTAAAAAGTAGTTAAACCTTTCTCCGAACATTTTTCTTCTAATGGAAACACTGTCTTGAATGCAGTCGAACGAAATTGGTTTACTCCGGTTGTCCATTATGGATAAGGTGAGAAATGCGGCAGGGACTTGGAGTAGAGCTGCTGCTCCTTCGCGTTGAAAGGAGCCACCTGTTCACCTCTCTATCCTGGTGTTCCCGGTTTGTCCGGCTGGGAGGAGACCGAGGGCCAGACCCAGGACCAGGTGCAGGAATTACATCTCCACGCTGGCCTGGGAGCACCTTAATGTGGCGAGTGAAAGGGAAATTTGGGACCCTCTGCTGGAACTGCTACCTCCGTGAGCCGTCTCCGGATGAGCGGTTGACTAGGGATGGATGGATGGATGATTCACCGGTGTCTCAAGCACCTTAACAAAGCGCTACTTACTCACTGAACTCCTGATATTCTTTGCTTTTAACTCAATGAATATTCATGTCCATCAGATTTCACACACATAAATACAAGCCACAAAACAGATCGAGTCATTCCTTTCACTTTTAATGGCTTGGAGATGAATGGGGTAAAATATGCACTTTTTTTTTAATTCATTGATAGCATCTTTAGGTTGAGGTAATTGAGTCCTTTCCCCCCCCCCTTGACTGAATGAATAATGACTTCATCTGATCCCCGGCAAGGCTCTGAAAAATGTAGACCCGCCATTGTTCGAGCAGAAGGCGATCCTTTGCTTTTCAGGCGTGCTCTCTGTCTTAATTTTTCTTCATTTTAATCCACCCAAACCCCCTATTTTTCTCAATAGCTCAACCATGTAGTGAAGCAGCAGGGTGGGGAGATACCCACCCACTCGCTCTCGTTACCCTTCCTTTTTTTTTCTTGCTACTGGGAGTTTAACAGCGACGGATAAATCAGTCACACTGGTCCCCCGGCTCTCGCAGTCCTTAGGGGAATGGGCTTGGTGGGGGTTTGGGCAGCGGAGGAATTCTGCTGCTTTTTTATATGTGCTTGCCCCCTCCCCTTCTTTTCAGAGCAGTTCCTTTTATTTGAGGGAGGAGAGATGTTATGTTCTGCTGTTTTTGTAAGCGTGGTGCGTCAGAAGAAAGCCCTCTGTGTACAGGGCTTTGCTGCGAGCGCTGCCAGAAAGGGGAAGGGCACTTCTTTATTTGACATCTTTTTCCCACATGCTCCATTGGCTGGGAGATACACTCGAAAAATAAAAGACAATTCTGACCCCCCCTTTTTTGTCTTTTCTTTCTTTTTTTCTTCCATAAAGCCAATCTCAATATGGGAACTTTATTTTTGAGGCCTTTTGACCTTCTGTTGTATTGAAAGACAATACTTCAGTATGGAAATAAAGCAACTACAAAACAAACTTATTTATGTCGTACACATGGTTTGCATGATAAAAGCCTGCAGCTAAGAGTGTTTTTCATCGGCTTTGTTTTTGCTCTCTGTCTAGCATATTGTAAGGCTTTGGGAGCAGATGGGGAACTTACATAGTCTTCTCTTGTCACAATTTATGACCAAAATAAATACCATGTTTACTGGTAATTCTGTGAATCCCATTGAAGGAAAACCCCACAATGGACTGTAGAATCAAAACCTAATACACACGATGTATTTTTACGAGTAATTCCATGCTAATGGCAAATGAGTAGGACAATGATGAAGAAGTGATGTCTGACCTATGACCTCTTGTCTCTATAGGTGGGCTTACTGGACCTTGAGCTGAACCGCCTCACCAAGGCTCTGTTCCTGGCCCAGGTGGTCCTGTCTGTTGTCATGGTAGCAGTGCAGGGATTTGTGGGTCCTTGGTTTCGCAACCTTTTCCGATTTGTCGTGCTTTTCTCTTACATCATCCCTATCAGGTACTTTTTTTACAATGTTTTGATATTGTGTGACCACAGGCAAAATAAAATATGCATGTTTGTACAAAGAAAAAATAAATATTCGATTAATACTTTGAATCCCAAGCTTCCCGTCTGTTTCCTCTTGTACAAGACATTCTTTAGAACCTGGAATATATTTCATTCATTTTGTGTTGCAGTTTTGACACAGTTGTATTATTATTAGTTCTGTGATAGATAACAGCTTTGATTTTCCTATGGGTAGTTTGCGTGTAAATCTGGACATGGGGAAGTCGGCTTACGGCTGGATGATCATGAAAGACGAAAACATCCCAGGCACTGTAGTGAGAACCAGCACCATCCCAGAAGAACTGGGCCGGCTGGTCTATCTGCTGACAGACAAGACAGGTAGTTGTCCATACACCCTGAATATTACATTCACAGTTCTTGACTTAAAGCAACAACTATTTTGCATCCAAGTATAGGCTCAACTCTTCTTGCTGTTCTGCTTGATAACAAAATGATGTTGGAATCATCATAACAATAAAGGTCCGACTTTAGAGGAGTAGCGCAGGAATGAATCCTAAAACCCGAAACCTATTTAGTTGGTTTGTGTGGGTTTTTCTTTTATGTTTTTGGTACCTGAAATAAGGCCTGTCGTAAACACGAGGTTCACATTTTATTTTACGGTTTACAGTAAAAACCCTTCTGGAGAATGTTTGAAAGTTTACTTTTTCTCAAAGGGAGCCCTTGTGATGCTAACTTCTGGGAATCATAAATCTATCGATTAGATTTATGATCGATAGATTTATGATTCGAAATTATAAAAGTAGGGTAATATTATCCGACTGAACAAAAGGTGCATTTATCCACAGACCTTATACGAGTTATTTTCCAAAATCCTATGGAGAAATCCCATTGCTTTTTTATCGAGGGAACCCATGCGCAGTTTACTTCCGGGTTTTAGGATGCGTCACTGCACCACTCTATTTTATGTACACGGTAACACTGTTTGTAGATTTTATGCAATTATTAGTGTAGCACACACATGACACTTGCTTAACAATAAACAAATAACTTATTTATTTAATGTATTTATACATTTGTATTCAAATGTAGTTTCAGCCACCTAATTGTGGTTAAGTTATACACATTCTGAGGTAAAAGAAAGGACAAAAGGTCCAACAAATCTCCCTAATGTGTGTTCCTTCAACTTCTCTCATTTCACAATCATGTCCTGATTGTCTAATAACAAATGGCTGCTCTTTACTAATTCTAGTCAATGTGGCTCAGTGATAAACGCCTGCTGTGCTCCTAACATGCTCCTCTGTCTTACCCCGCTGATCTAGGTAGGAATAGATTAGCTGTAGAGCCTATTTGTCCAGGTTGATAGTTAAAGCACATGGAAAGAAGAACAAACAATCAATCGGAGAGAATTGGTTAACCCCGTCTCTAATGTTTTTGGAAGTGAGATGCCCTCTAATCAGCTTTAAGCTCCATCGCCACACATTCTGTCTACCCACATCCATTCAAACAAGCCATTGCTCTGTTTTACAAAGTTGTTGTTTTTTTAGTGTCTGGACATTCACTCAGTCTTTTTGTATGCAATGTCTGTTAGTAAGAGAGGACATGCACTCCATATTGGTAATGAGATTAGGTCAATGAGAAGGCAGTCACACAGTGATGCATTGTGGGCAGTCCACTGGTGATACATGCTGTGTGTGTGCTTGTTAAATTCAGATATGTTAAGTATATTTATTTTGCTATGAAATAGTGCCTTTTTGATTCAGACACCTTTGATGTTTTTTTTTACCCATTTCTTAAACAGCTGATATTTTATATATAATACTTATCTTATTACGTTATGTGTACAGAGCAGAAGATCCTAAGTTATTGATTTACCTACATTAGATTTTCTTATAGTCTAAATTCAATAGCAAACAAAATAAACTTAAAAAGGTTATTATAGTTTGTCAACTAGAGAACACTGACATGTTTATTTTTTATAAACTGTAATTTTCCCAGTTAGTATGCACCCTGGTCACACAAAGATAATACTTGTGTTACACACACCAGCCTTAAAGATACAGTATCAGTTGGGCTTTACTTGTTATGCTTAAGATGGGTCTGCTATAACAGAAATGAGAGCAGTCCTCAATAAAGGAATAATGATTGGGTAATTTCTTTATGATTTATTGGTTTGTGACATTGTATTGGTTCTTCTGAACTGCAGGCACATTGACTCAGAACGAAATGGTCTTCAAGCGGCTGCACCTGGGAACAGTATCCTACGGCACGGACACCATGGACGAGATACAGAGCCACATAGCTCAGTCATATGCACAGGTAAGATTTATTTCCGTTTATAATTCCTTAATTAACTGGATTGTTCAGTAAACATTCTGACCATTAACACCACCACCATCCAGAAAACTATAGCAAGTGTGAGCACTAATTTGGGAATGAATCCGCTACTTTTATTCCCTTTAGCTATACAATTATATGAATTTCCAATAAATGATGTTAAATCTACATCATCCAGTATGTAAAACTGGACAGAACCAATCAAAACAAAGCAAAACGTGTCACTTGCAACATAAAAATGTGTTTCCAGTCGTGGAGAGGATACATTTAAATACAAACTTGTTCTCTCGTGTTTTTCTGCTTATTCACGCCTCTCCCTGTAGATCACATTGATCAATTTTTATATTGAGCTAAGGATAAGATTTCCCGGAAAGAAGCCCATATTGTTCATTCATCAGGCAGTGTCCCTCAGCGCGTCCTCGTACTGTAAGCAAGTGTTTTCCTCACCGGGTGGCTCAGATCTGGCTGCACTCTTGACAGAATGATATTGTTCATACTCAGCCAGCTCCAGCAGCTGCTCAGCACTGAAACCATCTGCCCCACACCCTTATGTGTAATCTCGGCTAATGAAAAATGACGAGTCCTTTTTAGAGCTGCGGCTGAAGCAATTCCTCTGACCGGCTATTTTTACTATGTTGCTCTTTATTTACTGTAACAGTGACTTAATTATAGGAAGCTATCATTTTTTTTTTTTTAGCACTATTGTTAATTTAAACAATCCACCCAGATTAGGGCAGAAATGAACAGTTGTTGCCATTTATATATTTATTACACACAATTTTTCTTAACTAAAACTTATTTTTACTTTAAATCTTCAAAAAATATTAAAATGGTCCTTTTTTGCGGTTTTCCCTTCCCTGTAGTGTGTTCTATAAGTTGTTGTGCATGTAAATGGTCTGCAAAGGCTTAAATCCCAAAGTTCCCTCCAGAGGGAGTTTCCCTCCCGCACACATTCACCCCCCTCTTTCATTTTTTTAAAGATTAATATTATAAATCTTTAAAAAAATACGTGTTGTTGAACTGATATTATACTTCATTATCTAGCAATATCATTAGCATCCTCTTCATGGTGCTCCAATGCTTAACTTGTCTGACAACATAACCCAATCGTCTCTCATTGATCTTTCAGTCTCTTTCCATGAAGGTTGTCATACTGTATCCCCCACTGCCCTTCCTCCCTGCCTGGCAGGACTGAAGGTTAATAATAAGCCAAAATCAAACGCTTCAGCAGAGCGCGTCGCCCCCGTCAGGCGCAGCTGGCACAGTGGGCTGTCTGCCTGCTCCGCTAGTCACCCCCCAGTTAAACTGATGGCTGATGTCAAAACAGCGGAACACATAAAAGGTGCTCAAATCAGATATGACACGATAAAGACGGTGATACAACACTTCCCTTCGCTGAGTCGTTTATCTTGAACAGGGGTGTCAGAGTGAATAGGCGACCAGTGTAGGATTCAACCTAGTTGCCATGTGCAGGCATCCTTCAGTTTTTAGTCATTTTCTAATGTTCTGACTCCGTGGTTCACATTATTTCAGCCGCCCTCCCAGCCCTCCAATGGAAACACCAGCGGCACCACTCCAGCACGGAAAACCCAAAGCTCGGGCCCGAAGGTCCGCAAGAGCGTCAGAAGTCGCATCCACGAGGCTGTGAAGGCCATCGCCCTGTGCCACAACGTCACACCGGTCTATGAGTCCCATGCCGCCGTGAACGGAGAGACGGAGTCTGCTGAGGCCGACCAGGACTTCAGTGATGACAACCGAGCCTACCAGGCCTCCAGCCCTGATGAGGTAAACATGACATCCAGGAAACAGTTTCAGCTCCTTCAACTTTAGAAGGAATCAATGGGTTCACTAATAACTTAGTGTTTCAGAGGTTTCTGCCAAAGATTATTCTGTAGTTGAAATTGCAACACATTATTGTAGTTGAATTGGTTGAATGGGTTCAGTACTCCACTCCAAATCTGTGTTTTAACCTATGGTAAAATAATCCATGCTAGTTCCATAAACACCTAATCTTAATGACTATCTTTATTTTGCCCTTTATGCTAAATATTTCCCATTGCTTAGGGTTTCATTTAGCAAAATAAATTACCTTGTTTTCAAAGCATCATTACAAATCTCATATTTTGATCAAATCCAGCTACTAGTTGAAACCAATTGCCCTTTTGGCCAGAGTAAACAGTGAGATTCTCAGGAGAACAGCCTGTGTTTTTCTGTCTTCATGTTTTATTGGTGATCCTAAATAACCCTGGTTTGTCATAATAGTCATTTCATGAACACAAAGTCAGAGGTCGTGATCCCCTCATAGAGGTTAAGCTATTTAACCGTGTGTACTTGCTTCCTGTGGATTTACTGCTCCTCGTAGAACGTGAAAACGATCCCTAAAGGCATCACTACCGCTTCCTTTCCTCTGACCGTTCCTTTTATATATAGGCCTTAATAATCATTTTATGCAATTGAGAAACCCAAGGAGAATCTATACTTAAATCTGGAAAACAGGGAAAGATGTTTTAACAGATAAAGTAACAGTCAGTATCTGTTTTTAAAGAGATGTTTAATGCGTGTTGAGGGGTAGTTAATCCCCCCATACACCCCCATTTCAATACGTTTGTCACCCATGACATGCGAGAGCCTTTGTGAGAATGCGGCACTTCGGGTTGAACCCAGAGTCTAGCTATCTAACAATCAAAATAAAGATAGAAAGGTGGCGAGGGATAAATCTCAGTTGTCCTCCCCCTCTGAATTGATGTATATATTTATTTATATCCCGGCCCACTCCGTTCTATCTCCCCTCTCTGTATTGTCTCACACTGCTCGGATTGATCAATATTTAATTTTCTCCCAGAGACGATGAGAGGTGGAGGTCTGTGATTGTAGCTGGAGCCCTCCCTTCCCCTTCTACTATATTCTTTGTTCTTCCTCTGCCCCCCCCCCTCTCTCCCTCCTTGTCTCCTCACTCTCATTGACTGCAGCATCAGATCTTGGCTGCTGCTCGTCTGTTAGTGATAGTTTGTTTGGCCCTGGCTCTCTGCTCAGCCTCTCTAATGTAATGAGCCATCATTAAGGAGATGAAGTGGGCGGTCGCAGAGGTCATCTGACCTGCCGGTGAACAGAGTCCTCCTGTGACCTTTGACCCTCGTAATATCAGACAAGAGCATTCCACTGTAGACTTTAATGACTGCCATGTCCAGGAAGTGGGTGCTTCATCATTTCCAATTGGATGTAACTGGCAGTTTCACTGAGTGATAAGGTATCTTATTTGGGTTCAAATTTGTATTTTGGGCTTCTACTGTGACATTTAAATGCCTACATGTCAAACATCTCTTTATTGTTCTCATACTGCCTGTGCTGCAGCACCTCTTTTCACCCTCTGTCTGAAACCAGAGCCCAGTCTGCTCTGATTGGTTAGCTGGCCGGCTCTGCTGTGATTGGTACTGAACTTAGCCTTTACAGATTGCACAAAAACACAATACAGGAGAGATAAAACCTCGTTAAGACCTTGGTTTATAGTTAAGAAGGAACCCGAACACAGACGCTGCTAAGAAGCATAGCACTCTGCTGTCAATGGGATTTGTTTGCTTATAATAGTACATTATTGAATTAACGTTTCTCTGCATGCTCAGCTTAGCATAAAAACCCATCATATCCTTTCATTTGATCTGAATGAAGATGATCCTCTAACCTGATTTCCACATCCTTCTCTCTGCTTTGAGCTTGCTGCTTTAATAGAAATTGAATAGAAAGTGTCAGCCGTGGGTCAAAGCCACCGCATAAATTCACATGTGCCTTTTTGTTGGCATTGCGTGCAACCCTGCTGCTGGTGTGTTAGCGGAGGTGAGGGGAATCATGTGCGAGGAGAGGCCTGGATGGCATTTTATCATTTAACCTGACCTGAAAAGACAGCAGTGAAAGCCTCAGGGGAGCGCCGGCCTCCGTTGAGATGGCTTTGAGTTCACAGTTTGCTGCTAAAGTGATTCAGTATATTCACTTTTCCTTCATCCAATACGCTGAAGATGTATGGTTAAAGTGCAGCAGCCAAAATGCTGGTCATGCCCCTGACAACTTATCCTCAAACCCCCCTCACGGCCTTTAGTGATTCTGTAATTGCTCCCTCTGCACAGCTAAAGCTAGATCCATATTCAGTCAATGAACACAGCAGCAGCAGCACACAATGGAGCCTAATCACACAGCCTTCAATGTGACGGAGATCACCACCTGTGATGGCAGATGACAGGCGCTGATAGGACTGAGTGACAGGTGTCAGACATCCTGACGGGGACAAGAGGGACAAAAACACTGACTGTTTCACTATTAAAGCTCAACAGGCAGTGACCCGATACTCTAACAGGGGCTAAGTTAATATTTCATGCACACTGGGCACTCTGCACTCTTCTAATGGACGTAATAGTGCTCTAGAGGGGCCACAAAGTGCACATAGGGAAAGTATGACATATCAGCAATGATTTTACAAGCCGGCTAATTGCTAGCATTGGAAATCAGGCTTTAAAAACAGGCGGCCTTTAAGAGCCGGTGCAGTGTGACTTCCTGAATCAAGCAAAACCAAACAATTCCCTTCAGTCAGTTGTTCCATGTGCTAGGCCATGGAGGGGATTGTGGGTAACGTGGTCTCTTTGACTGGCTGCCACTCTACATAAATACTACATGACGGTGTGATCTTAATTTAAAACGCTATAAATATTGAAGAAGAATTAAAATAATTTATGGAACACAGCGGTGTAAAATGGATGTGTGTGTGTGTGTGTGTGTGTGTGTGTGTGTGTGTGTGTGTGTGTGTGTGTGTGTGTGTGTGTGTGTGTGGGGGAGTGTTTTGTCTCCTCTCACTCTGAGAACGATGAGCAGCGGTGGTGCAAGCTGGGAATTCTGTAATTGCTTTTTCTGTCCCTGAAGCAGGCCTTACTGCTTTAAATCAAAAAAGGCAATCTCTGTCAGTAATGGCTCAATTAATAATTAAACACGTGTCTTATCTCCGCCGAGCTCTCCCTATTTATTTTCATCTCTCCGACAGGGATGGCTGCACAAACAGCATTAGCACTATCAATAAAGGGAGCATTAATATCAGCCTTTTCCTTCACAAACAAATCACCAAGCTCATAAACTGCCCTGTGTCTGTGAACAGTAACAACCCAGAGATTAATAAAGAAACAAGACATTATTCTTTGCTTTGCCCCCAAGTAGTCCTCTCCCTGATCTGAGTGCTAGCTAGCCCGTTCTGTTCTTTGCTAGAAGCTTCTACCGTTTACAAGAGGCTTTTGTTTACTTCCGGAAAATAGTGACATCACTACGTAAAGATTGCGCTTCTATTGGCTAGCGCTCCAACACATTGTTTGGATAGGCTAAGGGGCGGGACATCTCTTAGCGGTTGACCAATCACAACAGAGCCGGCCAGCTAACCAATCAGAGCAGACTGGGCTCTGGTTTCAGACAGAGGGTGAGAAGAGGTGCTGCAGCACAGGAAATAAAGAGCTTTTTGACAGACAGATCACAGTTGAGGCACAAAATAAAAATATAAACCTGAAAATGAGAATATTAGGGCCCCATTAATATCGAAATAAACGCATGAGCTGCTGCTGAAGCTCAGCAACAATAGATGTGAGAGTCAAGAGGTTTATTTTATGCATCCTAAACCTCTATCTCCCTTTTGCACATACAGTAGTGTGACTCTCACAGTGCCCTAACACCACCATAAGTGCTACGTCAATACAGAAACATCTGTCTTCTTGATAAAGAAAACATGTCCTGCAAGCTGCCTGGACTTTGTCAGACAAATCAGAGTCAGGATGGAGGCGAGGCTCGCCAGGCTTGGATTCCTCAGCGGTGATGGCTGCTTTCAATTCCAGCGTTTGCTAATCTGGCTGTGGGAAGCCTTTGCGCAGCAGCCCTCGTGTTTTTCCAACAACATGTCTGCCCTCCAGCCAGACACACACACTCCATCTACCTTCCACTCGGTCCCGATTCAGCGGCGGTGAAAAGCTGATTAGTTGGTCAGAGGGTCAACCTCCATTCATTATTTAATGGGCGAGAGGCTGCGAACAGTCCAGCTTGGTGATACATTACACAGCCCTGGCCAGAGGAGAGCCGCCCGGCCGAATACCAACATGCACTCTCATCCACTTCACTATGGCTGAGACGCCCTCAATCCCCCCCGCCCCTGACCTTGCCGCTTCCTCTCAAATCACCGTCCTTCTCTGGCATTCAGAATCCAGCAGGTGGGACTGCGATTCACTTTCTGTAAGCTTGCACTGCAGCAGGGCTGTAGCTAAGGCTGACCCAGGTAACAGAGGAGGATGAGGAGGATGAGGATGAGGAGGATGAGGATGAGGAGGAGGTGGCCATCTCTTTTATTGACGTGCCGCAAACAGCAGTGGCGGAACAAAGGCCACTCAGCACCTTTTGAGAGAGCAGGTCTGCAGGCAGGGGGGTTGATTAGCGATTCGACACAGGGACCCTGGACTGTGTAGCACATAATGAGAGCTTAGGGAGCGAGCCATGAGCCAATGGGAGAAGGAGGTACGGCGCGTTGAGGATAGAAGAGGTGAGAGGCGGGGTTTTACCATAAGGAATTGATTTCCCAGAATGGAAGATTGATATATGAGAAAAAGGGCTGTAAAGAAAAAACAAACAAGTGTACGGGCAGATCCTAAATCCTTAAGCTACAGCATTGGTAATGTGTTTATATATAAACAGTTAGAGGATAAGCCCTAAATCCACTGCCGAGCTAAATGGTTTATGCATTTTGTTTGTTTGTTTACTTCTGTGTCAATTAAGCAAATTGCTCCAACATCCCTGACGAGCACGAGATCTAAAGTGAGAGGATTTTTGCATTCATGTCCAAAAAGCTTCCATCTCCCCTGTCTTCACCTTTCATGTGGCCTCAGAGAGATGCTTACAGAGTCAGATGTGCATGATGGCCGTGTGTGTGTGTGTGTGTGTGTGTGTGTGTGTGTGTGTGTGTGTGTTCTGCTTCTTCGTCTGCTCTCTCCTTCCTTTGTTCCACTGGTCTAATCCAGTATGTGTGGGCCGGTAAGTTTAATGGAAACAATTTATTAAGTCCGGCTTAAAATGCCATCTGCAGCTAAGCCTCCCAAAGCCGCTAAGCTCCTGGTTTCGCCCCGGAGCTCGCTGTGTTCACGCTTACTGTAATGCTCTGTTTAAAATGAGCACAACGGGTCAAAATTAATCAGGATTACAAGGGCACAAATCCACTTCAGAAATGGGTTTTCGACCAATCTTTTCTCCTGCTATCCCAAGATGCCCCGGGTTTGTCTGGTGGACCGCACACTTCACGGGGTTTACCGCCACACCACGGCAGGTAGGAAACCAGGCTGAGAGAGAACAATATACTCGTGCTCTTAAACCCACAGATACTGTACAACATTCAACATACTGACTGCAGATTCCAAAGTGCTCTTCAGAGATATTCCCAGCCGCTGACAGCTCGGTGATAACTCCCCACCACTTCCATAGGCGCAGCATAGTGAAATGTTCTAAGAAGGCCTACCGAGTGAAGTGTTTCTCTGAGCTCTGTGGAGGTGCCCTGTGCACGCTCAGCAGCTACATTTAGCTCCTCGTTCGCCTCCAAGCAAGTGACAACAGTAAACTCTGACCTGCAATTCAATAAGAGAAGCCCAGAGTGGAGCACAAGTCTTCCCAGCGCCTTTACTTAAACATGCCATCCTCCAGGAAATCAATAATTGCAGGAGGTTTAAGACAGGAAATAAACAAGAAACCGATAGCTGTTAGATAACGCTTGCCCTCTGCTGTACCTTCCTCCAAACCACCAACACACACAGACGTTTAGCAGAACTAGTGCTGGCGTTTGGGAAACAACATCCAAAGAGTACTGCAGTGTTATTACAGACACTATTAACTTGTATAATCTGCACTGTTTGCTTGCGATGTCGAGATGACGAAAAGTAAATAGGAGAGAAAGAAGGCAATGGTGTCTGGGTTTTGCCCAAAACCATGTTCTGTGTGCGTAATTACAGCGCTCTGACTTCACTGATTACTATGTTGGTCTTTCCTCTCCTCTATTAACCCCGAACCGTTTCATTAGCATGACAGACTGTGGGCCTGTGTGCAATTTGGACTTAACCTCAACCGCTTGTACCCGTAACTGCTCACGAAAATAAAGTTCAGGGAAGGAGCACGATGCCGAAAACAAGGAAGAGTAACACTCATTACCAAGAGAAATGTACAAGCTTAACATCATTGGCAGCATTATATATTTATGTGTGCCATAATGCGTGTGTGTGTGTGTGTGTCTGTTAGAGAGTCTAGCAGCTCGACAGGCCTGCTGATCAGAGGAAAGCCTTTCATTGGTCCCACAGGACCGCGAGCGAGAACGGTAATGGGACACATACGCGGCATTCTGAACCAGAGGAAAACAGCCCGTGGGCTACTTTGTATCACACACACACACACACACACACACACACACACACACACACACACACACACACACACACACACACACACACACACACACACAGAAAAAAAACAGTCTAGGCCAAAAACAAACACTGTCCTAGAATCCATTACAGCTCCAAACAACAACATTGGAATGGGAGACGAGAAAGCGGGCGGGTGGCATCTTTACCAAATCACTTCATCACACTCTGCTGCCTCACCCTCTATAACCCCTAATTCTAATCTGGTGACCATTCTTACACACCACCCCAAAGCGGATCTGGTTGATCCGTGTGACAATCAGGAGAAACTCTGATGTGATTGTGAGGATGTAATTCCAGGGTCCTAATCCTCAGGCCTCGGCGCACATTAGCATGATCCACAGAGTGCGCCAGCAGACAGGGGGAGAGAGTCTGGAGACGGAGGCTGTGTATGTGGCTGGACTAGCTGTGCTGTGTTTACATGCAGCCTTGTTCTGTACGGGCATGCAGGGGAAATAACCCGCTGACAGCTGACAGCCCGGTGCAGGAGAGATGGAGTCTGACGCGGTCTAGTTGTTTTCTAAACCATGCAAGACTCAAAGTCATTGTGAACGCCGGTTTTGCGAGGCAGACGCTGGTCACAGGTCGTCTGCATCACACAGCCGACAGCTTGTTTCTCTGCTCTGTGTCCGCCATGCTGTTCTACTTAGCAGTCAGAGCTACTGTGCTTAACCAAGCCACACTTTCCTATGTTGTTGAGAGGGAAACTAGCTTTAAAAGGGGATGTTCTAAGGAGTTAAAATGGAGGTAAACAAAGATATATTTGTGAGTGCAGAAAAGCAGGAAGTAGATTTAATGCCAATACTACAAATATGTCTGGAAATGTCATTGTCAGAAATTAAAAAACAAAGCAAGATTGTTGTTGTAAAAGAAGGCTGTTTACCAAAGAAAACAGTATTTACCATGGTCATATGTACAGTATACTCTTTATAGTTAGTTTGCCAATGATTGCTACCTTTGTCAAGACTTAACCGAATACTCAACATATATTCAACAAACATTGATCATATAAAATAGTAAGCAAGAGAAACTATTTATATTTGACATCCGAGTTGCCTTACTATTTTGTATTAGTCCATTTGAGGCAAGATAATATTTTTCCAGTCTGTCCTGCAGATGTCCCCCCCCCCTCCCCTAACATGTCCATGGTTTACAGTGTTCTGCCTCTGCACGTCCTTCTCCCTCTGCCTGTGTTAATGGCCCTCTCCCTGCTTCCTGCCCTGGGGGGACGGGGTCTGCATGCTGCTCTCTGTCACTAGTCGCTGATCACGCCTCTCCTCCCTCCCTGCATCCACAACTTGACACCTCTCTCCCTGCTCTGACCCGGCAAGCATCATTACATGTACTCAGTATACAGGTGCAGACATGCTATGCCTGCATTGTACACACAGACACATGTGTGCAGTCTGATGGCCACTTGAGATCATGCATGAACCTACAAAAGCAAAAGCCTTATAATCCACATGTGTGCATATGTTAACACACACATGAGACTTGTGTGTTGTCTGGGGGGCTGACAAAGCTCTTTCTTTCCTTTGGCATCCATTATGGTCCAGGCCTGCTGTCAGAGAGTGTGTATTGCCTCAGGGAAGTTCCCATTTGTGGGAGCATGTGGCAGGGAGGCTCTAAATCCCCTCTAATGAACCAATATGTAGGAGGGCTAAGCCTTTGGCGGGGTCGTCCAAGAAATGCCACTCTGCGCTCAGGCAAAGATGGATGCATATGTCGTCAGCAGACCTTGTTTATGTCTGCTGACATTTAAATCTGAATGGAAGCTGTAGGATTAGACGGGGGAGATTTGGGGAGAGGAACCCAGTTGCTGTTTGAATGAAGACTGAAAGGGGGAATGGAGAAAACAGAGCGGGGTCTTACCTTTGGGTGTGGTGGGGGAAAAGAGCTTCTCCGATCCTACATCAGACACCTGGAAAAACAAGAAGGCAGACATTTAGTGGATTTGTCCAATTTAAACTAATGCTATTACGTATCAAAATCATTTCTGTCTGCCATTGAAAGCCTTATTCGGACCCAAACGTGGCCATTAGTGCATGGAGGAGAAGGCCAGCTGCCACAGATATCATCATACATTCAATCTAAATACTCCATTCAGCCAACAAGAAGAGTTCCCTCTGTACCCGACGGTCCCTGTCTGGCTCTTTCCTGTCGAGGTAACATTAGGTGGCACTGTTGTGCCACCTGAAAACCCTCCTAAGAAATGCTGTCAGAGACGAGGAAGTCAGTACGGTGGCCATGCAGCATTAGAGCACAAAGGCTCCTGCACGCACGCTCAGAAAATCACATTTTGTTCTGAAATATCTTTTGTATGGAATAACACATCTCATGAATAGAATGTGGTTCTAATCCGAAAGCAATATCCTTATTTCACAGAATCAATATCAAAGACAATATCAGCTCGTTCTGGGAGTAAACAGATAACCTGTCAACAACATGAGCAGTTATTGGGTCAAAGCAGTTGTTACAGATGTGTGACTGACGGTGGATCTGACGGACCTCAGTGGAATGGACGTGAAGGCATCTCGCTGTGAGGTGATAGTGGAGACTTGTAGACTAAACACTTTGAGGTATTTTCCTTTCTGCTTCATATGAATATGATTCTGGCAAGCACCATTTAAATCAAAACACTCCATACATTTTTACACATGTTCCGAGGACAGACGGGAAATGTTTAACCACCGAGCGAAAAGCAGTAAATCCACACAAAACCTGGTATTGTGCAAAGAAATGTGTGTGCCTGGACGATAATATTAATATTGGAAATCCAGTCATATCAGCCCATATAGGGGGTGCTGATTAAAGCCAAGATTTTATTTTTCCTTTGCTTTAGATCTTCTGATTCGCGCACTTGTAAAAAGCTGCAAGAGCCGAGCATATGTTCCACCCAAAGGGCCCGAGTGTCCTTAACTGCCATGCTTGTATTTTACGCGGCACAAAGGCAGCATATGTAAAGAATGAACAGTGAATCAGAGCGAGAGCGACAGAGACAAAAAGAGAAACGCAAATCATTTTGTAAACACAGATGGCTGTCCTTGGCATGCGTGTTAGTTCTTCACAAGTGTTTTGAGGACGTCCTCTTCTTTCCAAGACCTCCCAATTCCTCCTCCACTGCCACTGTGGTTTCTTTGCCTGGTTCCTTCAACAACTCGCTTTATTCCCACTGCAGCCGTACACAAATAAAAGGTAGAAGACATAACTGTCGAGAGCAAGGCAGACGCAACCATGTATGTTTACTAAAAACATGAAGAATTCTGCAGATTATTATGGAAAGATATAAGCCAGATTTTAAAACTACACTTAAAGGGGCCGTATTAAGCTTTCTTGGTTTCCCTACTGTAGGTATGTGTGCATGTAAATGGTCTGCAAAGGCTACATTCAATGCGCTACCTCCAGAGGGAGTTTGCCTCCCACACAAAATTAACCAATCACAACAGAGCCGGCCAGCTAACCAATCAGAGGGCTCTGGTTTCAGACAGAGGGTGAAAATAGGTGCTGCAGCAACGCTTTTTGAACATTGAAGCATTGAGACATGTCACAGTAGAGACACAAGATACAAATATAATAATACTTTTTATTTCTATAGCGCTTTTCTTGAACCCAAAGACGCTTTCCATTTGGGAGGGAGGGTAGACAAACAAAACAAAACCAAAAAGAAACAAAGAAACAAAACAAAACAGAAAAGCAGTCAGGAGGAAGTTGGTTGAGAGGGGGAGGGGCTTATGGATACAGAGTTGATATATGAACCTGAAAATGTAAAAAATAGGCCCCTTTAAATAAATATTGTTTCATAATAACACCTCAGTGGCATACGGCTTCTGAAGATCTTTAAGAGTGAGCATTAACAGCTGCAACCATGTAAATATAGTATTTATTGAAAGAATGCTCAACCAAAGTGTTTGATGTCGTCAAGTAGCCCGATGCTAATGTCAGAAGAGGTCAATAACGCCTCCTTAGCTGTGTCTTGATGAGTGGAACATTAAATGGAGGGCGAACACTTGACTGAATGGAGATGTTTCCTGTTTCCTCTTACAGCAGACGAGGCGAATGGCTTTAGAGGAAAGACAGAGTGTTGTGCTTTGCCCTCTTCCAGTCTCCCAGAACCAAGGCGTCAGGCAGCAACACAGGCTCTTTGTTAGCTTTGGACGACATTAAACGCTCCAGTACCGAAGCCCCGGCAATGCAGCGGCACAGCCTCGGCCCTGAATCATGGCCCCGGAGGCCCTGGAAGACGAATACGGGCTCAGAATGAAATGAAGCTTGTCAAATGGACACGGGGGCTGGCTCAGGGACTTGCTTCGAGTGGCACGGGGTCACGAAAGCAAGAAAAAGACAGGGTAGGTCATGCCATAACTCACTACAACGGTTAAAACAATTGTTATGACCAGAGCGGTTATCCAGAGAGCGAGGCAGACATAACGTTCCTGAGAAAGAGAACAGAAAATGCTGTTTATCATGTGCCATGTTGTCCTTATTCCTTTCTCTGGCTATTTCCAGCTGTTTTATATTCCAAACATATTCCAAGAAACATCAGCACCCGATATTTAGGTTTTAATGCGGTGTCTGGCACCTGCCAAGTCTGCATGACTCAGTCCTATAATCCACAATTACAAGGCCGGCTTACAAAAGCACTTCTTGAAAAGGCATGTCAAAGCAGAGCCCTGATTTGGCTCGCTGAGGTTTTTCTGGAACCTTTTGGTCAAGTTGACATTTTTTCACGGGGCTGTGCTGCTGGCAGTCTGTTAGCCTGCGGTGGTGGTGCGCAGAGGTCATGTATAACAAATTCTTCACACTCTCTTTGTTGAGGCAACCCTGGCTGCCATTAAAAACAGACAAGGAAAGATGAGACAGAGGGAAAATATATTTAAGGAGAAAAAGAGGCAGACAAAGAGAAAACAGAGAGGAGCAAAGGCCAGGCTTTCCAAAGGAAACAGGGAATTTTAACCATTTAAAAAAAAAAAAGAATGGGGGAAATTCAAGCCACATTGCCTGGGAGCCAAAAGCCCTTGGAGCAGGCCGCAGGAAGCCTGACCTTTTGGAGGGGGCCGTCTGCTATCTGAGCCTGGGGCTTCAGGGGCCCGGCCTCCTCTCTGGAGGGCCGTCAGCAGGCCGACGCTTTCCTTCCCTATTCTATTCATTAGCCACGCTTTATGATTCAGCTTCCTCTGAGCCACACAAGAGCTCCCTGAGGAAAGAGACTGCTGGAGAGAGGCAGAAAAAAGGGAGTGAGACTGAGGGAGGGGGAAAGAAGCAAGAAGGAGGTCATAGGGCCCAGCCGGGGCCCGGCTCTCAGCAGCTGTGAAATCCTTCCGTTTCCTCGGCAGGCGTAAAAGGAATGAGGGGGAGAAGGAGAGAGAGAAGGAGGCCAGGGAGGGAGCCGGGCCAGTAAACCCGCCATTAGCATGCTAACTCCCCAAAGAGCCACATGCACAACCATAATTCCTAGATTTAGGGAATGCCAAATTACAAATTACACTGCTGTTTGTTTTAAAAAGTCCCCAACTTCCCTGAACACCAATGACTTATTGGCTGCATAAATCTCCAGATAATAGCCGAGCCGCAGAGGGANAAATCACCCGGTTCTTTACGACCATTTTTACAGGGATACAAACCGGAGGAACCAGGCATGGAGGGAGGTGGCAGAGACAGTGGGTGAAACTGGTAGGTTTTCGCCTGTTTGGGGATTTAAACCTACCAGTTTCACCCACTGTCTCTGCCACCTCCCTCCATGCCTGGTTCCTCCGGTTTGTATCCCTGTAAAAATGGTCGTAAAGAACCGGGTGATTTGCTACCGTAATTTCTCGTTTGGAATATGATGAAATGAACTGCGGTCTGGCTCTCCCAACTTGCACGCGGCTA